ATAGATGTGGAATGCAAACAAAAACAAAGCCTCTGGCACACTTGAAATGGAAGATGACCGTTTCTTTTTCTTTTGCACCATTTCAGAATAAAGGATTTGTCGAAGATCCATTTAGATGGCAATCTGAGTAATACCATGTATTTCCAAAGGCTCAGTTTGTCATAATAGACAAAATCAGATTTACACATAGACTAGACAAAGTCTGAAAAAGTTATATTCCAAGAGTTTCTTTTGCTCTACAGAAGACTAAATTGAATAATCCGTAATATCAAACAGGGATATGGAATGAAGGAAGTTTGAATTCATGACCCTCATTCAACCTAGCCATCCATAAAAAGAAAGAGAAGAAACTTTTTCATAAATGTGCATTAATCATTATCCTTTGTATTTCTATTAATTAAATAAATGAAACATGGACAATTTTAAAATATTACTTCAATGTATTGTGGATCTATGAAGAAAAGTTTTTCCCTTTACAACACAGAGGAAAATAGACCTCTCTCTTTAGAGGAGTATAATCCTTTAATTCTTCTAGGGATTCTAATCCAAGAAAATGTGTTCCACATCTACATGACAATGAAGAAAGTTTTCCTAGATAAACAGGTACCAGCCATTATATGTAATCGCTTTAGATTTTTTTATCCCAGTTTCTGAGCTTGGTGTAAGAAGGAATTCAGGCTCAAATCTGGAGAGAAGTATATGACGATGTACAGTTGTTGAGTGGAATCCTACCATTTGCTTTTCTCATGTTTTTGTTTTCTTGTGAGTATACAGTCATTCTATAACTATCAACTCAAATGCATAAAGAAAAATTCATACCTCTTCTTTACCTGCATACCCACAGCTACAAAGAAATTATTTTTTGAGGAATTGAGACTATTTTTATATCGTGAAGCTGAAACTCAAATGCATACCTCAGTTTCCAAAGATAAGGCTGTTTCTACCACCTACTTTCTTTCACTTTGTATAGTCAGTGCAGGACTAGTAAATAAAAATTGCTCTGGTTTTGATGAATTTGTCCCAGTCAGTGTAGTCTTAAAAAAGCAGGCCACCTCTAATTTAGGGTGTCTTATTTTGCTTGTCAATTAGAGATTATTTGCCAAAAAGACACATGAAGATTTCCACTTGTGGACAGTATTGCCTTACCCATAAGGAATCTCAGAGTGAGAGTTTTGTTCCTGCAAGGAAAATTCTGCTGAGACACTACAAAAAATCCTTTTCTTCAGTATATTAGTTGATGAAGTTTTTGTGGGTATGACTTTAGCCCTCTGACTGTTTGCCTTTGAATTAACCATAGAAGCTCCACTGTAATCTCGAATCTTTAGCCATGCTGTAGTGCTGTGGTTTCTCAAACATCTGCTGGGGACTTTGAAACCACCACATTCATTTTCTTATGACCTAAGCTGCAATTTAATTCAGGTCTCTGAAGATGAAAGCCAAGGAAACCTCTACAGAGAGCAGAACACTTCCAAAACAGTTCTGAGGCTGTGGAGATGGGAACAGCTGGCCTGCTCTCCCCTTTTGGTTGGGAGGGATTGTTGTTTCCAGGTCCCTATCAGACATCTGAGGAACCCCCATTTTTCTTTTTTTACTACAACCACTTCCTGAGGCGAAGTGCAACAGTCCCTATCCATCTGCCCGGAAAACCTGGAAAGAAACTTGAAATTTGTAAGGGTTTTGTTTGGGTTTTTTTTTCAGTAACCTGTTTGAGATCTTTGCATATTATAGAAGTAGGAATAAATTCCCCTCAAAAGCGGGAGGACTAGAATAAGTTCTTGCTTACTTGTTTGTAGACGATGTCATAGTTCTTGCTAAATCATTACTAAGCCTCTGTTTTTTACTGTGGAAAAATGTAGAATGTAAAACCTCAAATATTTTCACCAGACAGAACTTGCATTCCTTGGCCAGCCCCAGCTGGAAGTTATTTTCAAGGTTGTTGTTCATCAAAGGACTCAAGCAGAAGGCAAAACCTTATTCTGGTATTTCTGTAGCACCTGTACAGTGGAGCCCTGATCCATGCCTATGGGTCTTTGGTCTGACATATGACTCCTAGGAAACAAAAAAGTAAATAATATTCAGTGGTAATCTCACAAATGGTCCCTTTAGGGCCACAGCTAATATAGTGCACGTAAAATTAGGCATGTGCTCAATTATAAAGTTATTACTCAATCAGAGGTTTTGTAGGCTGAAAATGTGATTAAGGAGTATTTCAGCTTGAGAAAAGCCTTGGATTAAATGTTGGGGTTTGGGTTTTTTCATACAAAGCTCAGATGTATCATATAATTTGGGAATATTCCTTTCATTTTTAATAAGCTTGTGCAAGCTATACAGTTGGAAATGTCTTCAAATGAAGTTTATAAAAGAGTGTACTATTCAGATTTCAAAGAAAAAAAGAATTCTGCAGTCAAAGAAATCCAAAGGTTTTTTCCCAAGCATTTTGGTTTTCTAAGTCTAGGGCTTTTTAAGTTAAGATTCAATTAATACATTGTTATTCAAATCAACCAGAGCATTAAATGAAACAATATTGACTTAACCTTCCTGTTACTCTATGTTTCATGACAGTTATCCCAAAAATTAATTAGTTCTGCTTGACAAAATGAGTTGGTGATGTAAGTGTTGCTAGAAGTAACACTTTAAGTGGAAGCTACTCAAAAATCCCATGAAGTGTTACTGTAATTAAGTGCCAAAAGTATTACCATAATTAAGTGCTGAAGTTGGCTCTGGTGTGAGCTGACCTTGGTATTGACCCAGGAGTTATGCCTACAAGCAGTGGATGTGATCACTGCCACTGGCTAAGCCTGTGTAGGATTCCCCACTCTTCGGTGGAATTTCAGTCTACTTGTGAATCTGAAGTCAGGGCTGGGGAAACTAGCACACTGAACAGCTTGTTGAGAACAGCCCTGCAGAGTTTCGTGCTTGAAGCAGCCAAGGTGGTGGGACAACAAGGAGAGGCAATAGGAAGGACAGTGCTGACTGATTAATTTTTCCTGGCTACCTGAGCTGTCAGTGGAGAGACACTGGCACTGCTGGAGGCTTTGGGTGAGCTGCTCAGTGGTCTGTCTCTCCTCATGGACTGTGGTGAGAAGCCAGGCATAGCAAACAACTAACCTAAGGAGATAGGTAGGCACCTAAAACAGCACGGTGGAAGTTTCTTCATCTTCACCTCCTGCACGCTGATCTTTTCAGCACTTACAGTTACATCAGACCCCTTCCAGAAACAAATGTATTCTCTCTTCATTATCTTGATATCTAATTAATAACTAAGCTTCTAAAATGTGCAAACAAACCTTTATTTTTTGAAGGTTTGAGAAGGATAATCCAAAACCTTGATGAAAGCAAGCCTTTGCAAAAAGTCCCCTCTTTGCCTGGAGGACACTGTGTATTTCACATAAGGAGGTTATTTGTAAAATTGGTCCTGGTCCAAATTTAGATATATAAGCATTTGCTTAAGCTTAACGAGCTCCATAATGTGCTTACAGGTAAATGCATGTTTAAGCACATTGTTGGAAGGAAAAAAAAAGAATGCTGATGCAGATCAAGGGGCTCATCGGACTGAAAAAATAGCCAAGGGGTGAAATACAGTTACTTGTCACCTGAAACTATTGCCTGTTATTGTTCACCACTGATTCTTACTAGCACAGTGGAAAAGGTGACATGGCTGTAGGGGCAATTAGCCTGCTTTACCTTCTTACCCTCTTTTACTCTTAGCAAAGTGCAAATGGAAACATAGCTCTGAAATCAGTCCTTTCAATTTTGCTTTATTCTAGATATGATTAGACCTTTGTGCCTTTTTCTCTGACTCTTTACACATACATGTAAGCTAACCATACTACTGCTGAAGGGGAAGTACATTTTCTTGTTGTACAAAATGATGACTTTTCACCAAAAAAATCAACCTCCTCCAGAAAAAACCATATTCATCTGAGAATCAAAACTTTTCTACTATCAGTTTTCTTGTTATTTCTTTTACAAAAGTCAACTTTTTCCATAGAAAGCTAATGTTCTTTGTGAGCTTTTTTGCATTAGAAACAGTTTCATTGGCTCATATATTTATACTTTAGAAAACTACATGAGCACATCTATTATTTTCTGTCTGATTCACTGTGGAGATAAAGTGGAAATAACAAAGGCAGTCAAGACACATGACTTGGTATTGTCACTTGGATCTTTGGTAGTTTGAAACTTTTGGGAACCAATATGTGGACATATATGGGTATCATTAGTTCACTTCCTTTCCAGTAAAAGAACTTGGGGTCATTAAATGCAATTGGAAGGAGGGAGGTTCAAATCCCTCTAAAGAGACAGTTGCTCACTTTCCTCTGAGTTAAACTGTGGAGCTTATTGCTGTAAAATGGTGCAGATACTTAAAGTTTCCAGGGGTTGAAGGAGAGACCAAATAAATCCATGTAATATAATTCTTCTGAGGATTAGTAATGATGTACAAATTGTGTCTGATTCAAGAAGACTCTGAGCTCCAAATGGTTGGAGGATGAGAAAACATTCATGGGAGTCATCATACATGTTGGGACTTTTTCCTTACATGCTTTACTAGCAGATCCTGGCACTAGCAGCAGTGAGAGAGGGGATACTGCACTAGATGGATTGTCTGATCCAGTACTCGTGCTCTTAAGTGCACTAGTGTTCACTGCAGTCCTTTATATGGCTGGAAACTGTGATGTGTTAAGCACATCCTGGAGAGACGTCATTTCTCACTGATGTGCAGTAATGACTCAATACTCACAGGACCAGGCTTTTTCACTTGGGTTAGAAATACCTGATTATCTGTTTGCAAGTCCTACCTCCTGTTAAAAAAGACATTGAGACTCAATTCAGTATTTCACAAAATACAAGAGAGAGAGAGGAGAAAATAACATACAGGTTATACACAGAAAGAGTAAAAAAGTGCCAAACACAACATTTTTGAAATTACAATTTTCAAATTAGAAAAGGGGAAAGGAAAATGTTAAAAACGGTTTTGTTAATCATCTTTTTCTTTGTAGGTAAATGCGTCCCGCCAAGAAACCAAACTGATGGAAGAATGTGACCAGCTCATTGAAATTATCCAGCAAAGAAGACAAATAATTGGAACCAAAATCAAAGAAGGAAAGGTAAAAGCTTTTCTTCTTTAGATCCCAAGCAGGTCAGTACTGCTTCCTTGGGTTTACAGCTTTTTTGACTGCAGGTACTATTAATACAAAATTGTAAAAGTTCTTATGTAGTCCTGGGCTACTGTTACTTTCATGTAAAGAAGAATGAAATACTTGAAAAATTAGTATGCTAGACCTCAACTGTTTATTTGGCATTTCTCTTACTAAGTGTAATTGTGTTTTTTAAGGATGAAAACAGACATGATGTCACAATCAGTAAATCACAATTAAATTATGTCTACTTAATGATTCCTGAACTATGTTTTATGCCTGACAGTTTTTCCCCCCCAGTTTTTACTTTCACAAAATGTCACAGCATTTGGAATCATGTCTGGCAATTATCTACATGATTTTTTTTTTAGATAATTTCATTATTTATTCAAATACTATCACATAAAGATTTTATTCCAGTCATTGCATGTGTGTGTGTAATTCATGTGAATAGGAAGTCTTAATTTATTTACAAAAAAAGATATTAAAAAACATGCAAGAAATTAAATTGTGTGCATTTCTAATTCCTGAGGTTCAGTGATTATTCGTGGCAAACATATTGAGCAGGAAAAATCTCTGATATTTAAGTTTCAACACATTTTGCTAGCTGTTAACTCCGAAATGCATTACAGTTGAATTAATATTTTTATTTGCTAGGTGCACAGTATTTACTCTTTAACTGTTAACCTAACTAAGTCAAATATAAACTCTTCTTGTGTGGGAAAAGCTCAGGAAAGGAAGAAAGTCAAGAGCAGGTTAAATGGTTTATGTGGCTGTCAAGATATTCCAATTAAGTTGAAATGAAAAACCTGTAAGCAGGGGCTGACTTAAACATTTTTGAAGCCACAGGTCCTGTACACTGCATGACAGAACCTGAATTTCCTCATGCTGTTAACAAAATATAATTCCCTTCAAATGGAATAGATGGTCTTCTTCATGTTTGCTTCAACTCTGTTTCTCTGTGCAGTGAGACCAGATGTGCTGCCAATGAAGTAGCAAACTTTCCATTCATTTGGATTTGTGCTATATGCATGATTGTTTTTAAAAACTTTTCTTGCAAAGATGTATTCTAATGTCCATTTAGCATGGAAGATTTACAACACATTGACTCCAAATTTATTTGAGCAGAGCTGATATCAGAATCTGTCCCCATTCTTTGTTCTGCTTTGTTGAGCCAAAAGTGATATCAGTGGAGGTCCAGTAAAGATCTGGAATGCTTTGACCCAAATGTTGTATATGTTGAAAGATTTCAGGGGTTCAAGAGACTCATGTGAAAAGCCACAGAAAATTCTGCCCAATGTATCTTCTTTTAAGGGGGCCTTTCTGGAAGGTAGGGCATGACAGATCTCTCTGTAGGACTGTAGTTACAGCTACAGAGCTAAAAACATTCAGGTATAAAGTTCTAGCTGTGTCTACAAGCCTGGAGATTCAGCCTTGAAGTCACACAAGTGTGAAAACCCGGTGCAGCTCCATCCTTAATCTCACCTATCACTTGAAACCTACAAAATCCCACAGATCTTGTAACAGGAAAAAAACAAATATCAACTAGATAAGATAATTTTAGGGCAGATTTCATTCCTACCATTGCAGAAGTGGGTGGGGAGTGAGTGAGATGAGACTCTTCCTTTTACAATTTATCATCCATTATCTTCTTGAAGAAGATATAAAAAAAGAAGCAAGCAAGCAAAAAACATATGTCACAAATCATAACATGCCTGCTTTTGACTGCAAAAAACTCACAAGGTAACATTTATTTCAGTTCACTGTTTACTTTTTAATTAATAAGGAGATGAGCTTCTTAACACTGCAATGAACCTTTCCTGGTTAGACTGGTGTAGACCAAATTGTAATCTCCGCAAATGCACAGGCAGAGAAAGCATTATGGCATTAGTTCATCCTAGAAGCTGGTCAGATCATTAGCATTATTAAAATTCATGCATTCCCAGCATTTTCCCTGCTTTGTTGTTTCTATCTTTAGAAGAAATACTAATGTTACATGACATTAGTCATTTGGCCAGTATCTTTTTTGGAAAGTTTTTCAAAAAAGTTTATTTTCCTACTTATTTCTGTTGTCAGATAGGTATACTAAGTCACCCTCATTTATGCTTAGGATGCAAATATATCTGAAATTTAACTTAGCAGCTTCATAGCTTGTGCCGTAATTCCTGAGATTGGGAATGTTGTCTTGATCATAAATTTGAATATTTCTGCCAATCCACTTTGTTGTTAGTTTCCTCATTTTGAATGTAACTGGCTCTTAATGTGCCTTTCTAAACTCCAGAATTACTTAATTTCCTTCCTATTTCTTACTCCTGTTCAAACTATGGTCCTGATGTGATAACAATGGAAAGGACTCCCAGACCTTTCAGGAACTATTCTAGTTCCTGGAAGTTTTGTTAGCCAACATTGTCTTTAAATGGAGGATTGACTGTGCCCTTTCCTAACCTTTCAGCTAATGATTACAGTCACATCTACTGTGTTTATCTCCAGCACATATGTTTGCAGTAATAATAATCATCTCTCCAGCACTACTGTGCTTTTGTCCAGTTAAAAATATCCAACAAGAAAACACCCTGTTTGACTAAAAGGACATAATGAGAAGGTCAGGTGTGTCTTCTTAGTAGAACTGAATAGTCTTTTTCTGTTAAGTTATATTTTAAGATTATTTCTTTTTATGAAATTCACTTAAGTAATAGGAAAAATGTAGTTAATCTATAAGATGTCTTTAACACAGATCTCATAATTTCAGGGAAATGGTTATCTAAATAGCCCTTAGTTATCATGTAAGCAGAAATTACCAGGAAATTACGTTCCTTCTGCTGGAAAATAGGCCAGCTGTGCTTGTTTTGGCTCTCTCTCTTTGTTTTCCATGTGGAAAATATTCAAGCAGAAAGACTGTGCCTGTCCCTTACTGAAAATGTTGCATGGCTAGATGGAATTCCCCACAAAGCTTGTGTGAAAGAAGCTCTTGTCACCGAAGTCATTTGTCTTAACTCCTCCTTTGCCAAGGTTTGCCTCTGAAGTGCAAATACAATCATGATACACACCTTAGAGATGTGACTGCTTTCTTATGTTTTCACTCCAGGTGGTGAGGTTGAGAAAACTGGCTCAGCAGATTGCAAACTGCAAACAGTGCATTGAGCGCTCGACATCCCTCATCTCTCAGGCTGAGCAGTCGCTGAAGGAGAATGATCACGCTCGTTTCCTGCAGACAGCTAAAAATATCACTGAAAGGTAAAGAAGATATTCCTCTTGATAAGGAGGAAAACCTCACTTTAAGGTTGTTGAGTTGTCATAATTTCCGTAGTCTTGTCACACCACAGATGTGGTCAAAGACAGAGCAGTAATTGACACACACTCCTAAGACACTACTTTGTGCTGTACCAGAGTGGGAAGAAACCTTACTGTAATGCTAAATCAAAACACCCCTTTGAGGAGCAGTCAAAAAAAGGTGCAAATTAAGATTTAGAACAGTTAACAGCATGCACAAATGAAAGAGGTAGAATGGTTGCCAAGCAGATGTCTGGTACTAAACACACCAAAAAAAAAAAAAAGGTTTCTGGAGGCTGAAATTCCTACTTCATGAAAAATTCTGAGATTGAGAAAGAAGTCAGGCAGGAAGTACCTTCCTTAGAAGAAACTCGTAATGGTCTTAATGGATACATATTTTTCACCAAATAGCAAACCACCATGCATCTTTGAAGAGATAGAGATTAAACAGTCTGAATGTCTGGAAGTTACATCAGTTACTGTGTTGGGTCCCTTGGTACAGGGAATTTCTATTGTTTTTAGGGTCCTGGCTTCTTTTCAACATGTCATATATATCAAGGACCCCAAGAAAAGGACTGTGCTATCAGAAATTTTCAGTGCAATGCTGTGAATGCTGAAACATTCCCACTGAATTTCTGTAGTATTTTTTGATGAAAAAAAATGTTCTGTTGGAATTATCAGCTGTCTGGCAATCAATCAATAATATTTAAAAAACAAACCACAAAACAAAACAGGGAGAATATCTCTGAACAATGAAGAAGAAAACCATCAAAAGTACACTTATTCATTCAGCTATTTCTTTATTTCTGGGTTTGCATTGTATTTTTACATTGTCCAGTCAATTCTCCCTGAATCCAAAGCATGAAATTCCCTGCTCCTATTATGTATTTTTTTAAGTCTACCACTTACTGTGGTTTGCTGTATCAGTCTTCAGCAAAGCCATCAACACTGGGTTGTTCATTACAGTTTCAGAGAATTGAAAATCTGTTGAAAAAGGCAAGGCCAGGCAAAGCAGTGGAGAATATGTGGTCTTTCAGACTTAGAGCCTAATTCGTATTCTGTCACCAAGCTACATTGTGGCATCCCAGTTGAAGCTAGTAGTAAAACTACCATGAGTACCAAAAGCGAAATGTGGGGGTCTGTCCTTTTTTCAGTGTTCAGCAGAACCAGCAGTAGGGCAGATACCTGTGGAGACACAGAGCTTTTTAAGTGACTACCAGAGAATAGTCAGAGAAGCTCCATTTTGAACTTGTAAAACATGAACAGTTGCATCATAAATACAGTCACAGGAGAGACACTGGGAGAGCAAAAATGAGACAAGCTGACATATGGGCCCAATCAAACTTAATTCTTGGCTATCACAGATTGCTGTCTGTAATGAGACGGCTGTGAACGCCCTGCAAATCAGGGAATCATTTCAGGCAGTGAATAAAACCAAGGGTAAAAAAGCACCAAGTGCTTACAGACAAATTGCAAATGGAAAAAGATACTAAATCAGATTAATAAATTATTCCTCACAAGTAATTCTTAGTTCTCATGTGGTGAGCAACATTTTGTCTGCTTTTAAACTGCTCATGTAACAGTTTCACCAGGGCCCTGAGCTCCAGCAGCTAAAGCAGTCTCCTGAAATCATGCTCATTGCATTTCTTCATCCACATATTTCAAAGTAATTGCGGTATAATATTCTCTGTTGTAAGCACAACTGGTAGCTATGCAAGCAAAGTCATTACACACACTCTGATAATTTAGGCTGTGCATTATTTGCAGTGTGCAAAATGCGTTTATCCCAGAAAAACCCTTTCCAACCAAGTACAGCGTCGGAACAGAAAGAATTACAAAATGAAATTCAGTCCTCTGAACCTAATATTGTGACATGGTGTCTGAAATTGTGAATTGTTGAGCTCACCAAAATCTGAGTGTAACACATGTAATCACAGAGCACCCTTTGCATGGCCCCAAATGACAGTCCAAAAAGGCCTGGTGATACAATCTACATAATAAATATGTGCTTTGTGGAGGTGTTTGAATAAGCTCTTACAAAAAAATAAAGAAGTATAAAAGCTGAGAGAATTTTTCGCTTTAAATACATGGGGCAAAAGGCACTTCAATAGGGTTCCATAAGAAAAAAAATCTGTCCTAGGATCTACTTTTAATTAATTTCTACACCACGGTTGCAAGAGAAACCATGTTCAAAACTGTATAACAAGAATTGCTGACTAGGAACCCTCCTCAGCTCAGTTTCTGAAAATTATGCTGAAGACAATGAGATGTACAGATCAGTTTTTGACTCTCTTAACTGTACTTTCCTAAAATACTAAACAAAAAATATATGAAAAAATAGTCCTTAGTAAACATTTGTCTCAGAGCCATTTCAATTCTGTCTACGGAAAAAATACTCTGATTTGGGAAAATTTTAGTTGAAGCAATCAAAATATTTTTATCTGACACGTCATGAATGACAGATAACAGACATGCATTGTGTGCATGGTTGTCTGTTTATCTCCAAACTGAAGCAATTGACCAGTTTCTAATGAGGCTTAGTAATCTCTTTACCTAAATCAACTGAACCTTCTGTAAACATATCCAAAATCCAGCTCTTGAGAAATACGCATTTTGAGATACCAGGCTGAAGGATCTGAAAAATCCTTCCTGATGGCAGTTTTCTTGTGAAAGTTCATCTCTTTATATTAGTACAGCAGGACAGAGAAAATGTGGATGTAGCTCCTGAAATGAGGTAGGCAAAGAAACCTTTTGTTTTTGGAGGAAATGCAAGTATGTACCCATGCTTTTCAGGGAAAAGCCTTTCAAAATAAACTGTGCTGACATCTATTTGTTTTATCTCCCCCCGTGCCTTTTGAAGTTAACAGCAGTGTGCTGTGCTGAACAGCTGAGGAGGTGTGGGGATCTGCACCAAGCCCTTGGGATAGCAGTGCCAAGGAATGCCTGGAGCCAGAAACTGCTTGGAAAAAGAAGGGTTGGGAGAGATGCAGCATCTGTCAGGATTGCTTGAAACACAGATAATTATGGTGCTATTGCTACTTTGGTTCAACGGATCATTAGAAAGAACAATTCAAAATATATTGTTGCCTAACTAATATTTTTTTTAAATCTTCACTGACACTGCATGTTAGACCAAAGTTCAGTAATAAGTTTTTATTGGAGATTTTGCTCTCAAAAATAAAAGTGTTAGGACAAGCTCCTAACTTAAACCACATAAATAAAATACACATAAAAGTTTTTGTCAAGCTTTTTGAGAAAAAAAATCAAAATGACTGTGATAATCATATTGATCAGGTCAATGTTGACATGAAATTTATTGTGTCTTGAGTGCTAAAAGAGTTTTTCTTTTCATTACAGGGTTTCCATGGCAACTGCATCCTCCCAGGTTCTAATTCCTGAAATTAATCTCAATGATACTTTTGATACTTTCGCACTTGATTTTACCAGGGAGAAGAAGTTGTTGGAATGCCTTGATTATCTTACAGGTACTTTTTTTATCAAGATGCTATATTATATATTCATCATAAAAAAGTAGTGATAGGATTTTCTTCAGTCTTCTCCATGGTCCCAACTTTTGCTAACTGCCAGGGCACTCTCACTCCGCCTCTTCAGTAAGGGGAGAAAATAAGATGAAAAGCTCATGGGTTGAGATAAGGACAAGGAGTTCTCTCAAGAGTTACTGCTACAGGCAAAACAGACTCAACTTGGGGAAGATAAATGTAATTTATTGCCAATTAATTGTAAAAGTGGGACACTGAGAAATAAAAATATATCTGAGAAAAACTGTCCCCCACTCGGTTCTTCTTCTTGGGCTCAACTGCTCTCCTAGCTCTTCAACCTCCTCCCCACAGAGTAGGGGTTAAAGTCAGTTCATCACACATCACCTCTGTCACTCCTTCTTCCTGATGCTCTTCCACTACTCTGGCATGGGAATCCTCCCATGGAATGCAGTTCTTCATGAACTTCTCCAACACAGGCCCTTCCCACAGGCCACAGTTCTCCAAGTGCTCCAGCATTGGTCCTTCTGCCGGATGCTGTCCTTCAGGAGTGGACTGTTTCATGTGTGGGCCACAGTTCCTGCGAGAAAACTTGCTCCTGTGTGGTCATCTCTCTCAGGCTGCAGCTTCCTCCAGGGCATATCAACCTGCTGCAGTGTGGATCTTTCACAGCTGCAGGTGGATATCTGCTTCACTTTAGTCTTCCGTGAGCTGTAGGGAAACAGCCAGCATCACCTTAGTTTTCACCACAGGCTGCAGAGGAACCTCTGCTTTGGAGCCTGGAGCACTTCTCCCCCTCCTTCTTCCCTGACCTTGGAATCTGCAGGGCTGTTTCTATCACATTTTCTCACTCCTCTCTCTTCCAGGTGTTGCACAGCCTTTTTTACCCTTTCTTAAATATATTATCACAGAAGCACTACCAGCATCAGTGATGGGCTCAGCTTTGAGCAGTGGCAGGTCTATCTTAGGACTGTCTGTGTCTGACATGGAGTCAGCTCCTGGTCTTTTCTGACAGGGATCACCTTGTAGCCTAGCCACAACCAAAACCTTGCTACACAAGCCTAGCACTCTCTCCCTCTTAATTCTGAATGTATTACCCCTAGCACCCCCAGAATGCCCCAGGAAGCATTAGGTGCTACACAACACAACTGGGATGCGTTTCCTACCTCTTCTCCTTGCATTCCTCCCCACCAGAGTGATGAAGTGGGAGTGAGAAATGGTTAAAAGCCACTGCAGCAGAACGAAAGTGAAAGAACAGCTGCAGCTCAGTGTGGAGCAGCCAGAGGAGGGAGAGCAGGGACCAAACCCCATTTCCCAGAAGGTGGATGCTCCAGGTGTTATCCTCTCCCTTAGGGCTGCAGCAGATTGCAGCCTGGCAGAGTTCCCACGAGCAACCTGAAGCAGTTCAAGTAATCAACATCACAGGCTCAGCAACAAAAGATGTTTTCTCGTGTCAGTGACACTGTATTTCCCCCATCACAGAACTGGAGGATCTTGCTATATCTGGGACTAGAGAGCACACAGTGCACACGCTGCCAGAGTGTGGGTTGAGTTCTCCACAGAGCAGAGCCCCACCTCACTTAACTGAGATCTTTGGTCTGAAGAAGCCCACAGGATTAGACCCTTACTGAAAGCCTCAGTAATGTGCACTCTCAGACTGTACAATGACTCATAAAGAGAAACAAATTACTGTAATTTAGGATGTTTTGATTTCAATGCCAGAATTAGAACAATTCATTCCATTTCAATTGAAAACAGAAGAAACATGTGGTAGGTTTTCATTTCGCAGTGTTTTTAAGCATCTGCTGTTAACAGCAAGACTTTGCAGTGAAGGGCACAAAGCACTTTGACAAAAACACTTGGAAACACTTCCTGGGTCCATTCACTTGTCCCAGTTTGCAGTTTGTACACCCATGTTAGTTCAGGAGAATGTGAGAGGGTGGAGTCTTTTCATTGCCAATCAGTGTATCTTTTCCATGCAGAGTGCTGTCTACTGGCTTTTCTTCAGAGGAAAGGCTGAGAAAGTTAGGGTTGTTCAGCCTGAAGAAGAGAAGGCTCCAAGGAGACCTCATTGTGGCCTTTCAATACTTAAAACATTTTATTAGGACCTGTTGCAATAGAACAAGGAGTAATGGTTTTAAAGTAAAGGAGGGTAAGTTTAGGTTACATATAAGGAAAAAATCCTTTATAGTGAGGGTGGTGAGACTGGAACAGGTTGCCTAGAGAGGCTGTTGATGCCACATCCCTGGAAACATTCAAGGTCAAGTTGGATGGGACTCTGAGCAACCTGATCTAGATGAAAATGTTCCTGCTCACCATCTGGAGTTGGACCAGATGACCTTTAAAGGTCCCTCCCAAATCAAACTATTATATGATCCTGTGATTCTGTGATTCTATGATTCTATGAATAAGTGAACAGATTAATACTGGGCAGTGCAAGACTAGGGGCATGCACAGGGCAGCAACACCCTTGCCTGATAGAGCTGTGGAGTTCTTGCCATATTTGAAAAAGAGATTTTATCTGGAAGAAGTTTCTGTATCACCATGTGACTGATGAATGCAATCAATATCTAACACATATTCTAGTAAATAAGATACAATAGTAATGGGGTAAGAGTCATTTTAACTTCTTATACAGTACCAGTGAAATGTTATGGTGTCTGCCTCTCCCCAGATCTGCTGGAATTTTGCTACCATGTTGAGCATTCACCCCAAAATTATAAAAATCCAAGAAAATGAAAGGAAGGATTAAAACAGACTCATTTGCCCTAACCTAGCAATCTGCCTGTAAAATAATCACTCTCAACATCCTTTATGGTCGAAGAAGAATTTTAAGGCACATATCTCAGGGCAGTTGACTCCATTCTGGAGTTGCCTATTTCTCCCAGTTGTTATATATAATATATATAATATATAATATATAATCTCCCAGAGATTATATATATTCATTCAAATACAAATATTTATGGTTTAGATATTTTACGAGGTTAATTCTGTCTAGTAGTCTGTTCCTGCACCCCTGAGGTCTTTTCCCCTTTGTACATCATGTGTCACTATTATCAGCTTAATTGCTATACACACTACAGAAAACAAAGGAAGGTTGTATCTGTACAAAGGTTGTCTTGCTACAAAGAACTTCTTTGTGATCCATCATGCTGGCTGTGTCATTTACACAGCTCCTTCTCTGCCTTTTTCTTAACTCAGCCATGGTCTTAAGAAATTGCTCACAGTGCAGCCGTTTTTTCCTAATAGACCATTTTTATCCTTGCCCTTGATGCCCAGCAAAAAACAGTTTTAGCTAGCTTTGTTTTTGTGCTATTTTTCTTCACATTAATAAATAGCATATGGCTGCAATGGCAAAATGCGAAACACATGTTCAAATTATTTGAGTGTAAAATACAACCTATGCAGACAGTTAAAATACATTTATGTAAATGTATGTATATATGTAATGTGTATATATGTATAGTCCTAAGAGTTGAATGCATTTGATTATTCTCTACTGTTGTTCAGAAACTCTGGAGGAAGATTTATGTTATATTACTCCTTTCAGACTGGTGCATGGAATCTTCATAGATCTTAAACTGAACACTTTGTGACAGAGTGAATTAGGCTTTACTTTTATCATGTTTCACAGTTAAGTAAAATAAAGACCATTTGTAAGTCCTAGTGGAAGATCTATGTCGTGAATCAAGTGAAGAAACCTACCTTATAACTATCATCTGTACTGCTTCTGAACAAAATGTCAAAGTCTAAATTCCAGCTTCATTATCTCTGCTGCCAGTTGCTTTTGCAACAATTGACCTTGATTGTCTCTGGGAGATTTTCTTCTCTTTTGGTTTTTCCCAGTGTACTATTTGTCAGATCTTCTTCATCTTCCATCTCCCCAGTCCCAGTTTTCTATGTGGCACATTGATGTTTGTATCTTTCTTTCTTTCTTCCTACACTATTTCTTTCCTGAGTATAAATTTAACCAGTTTGTCCTTATTATTTGTGCAGCTGTCTTTCCTAAGCTGCTACTATCCAAATGAAAATCTCTGATATCTTTCTGAAAGTTGCCAGCCAGACATTGACATATCAAGCTCAGTATCTTAAAACAATACTTCTAATCTTCCTTTGACTGTTCTATCCTCTGTGCATATAGCCTTGATATCTTTGGAAAGCTTTCTTATCTTGCCAGTTACTCAAACTCTTCATCTGGAAATCATCTTTTTCTAACTGTGTATCTAGCTAGATCCATGCAATACATATGACTTGCAAACTCTCTGCACAATTCCTAAGGAATTTTTTTTATCCATTGTGAATCAAAAATACTTGTTCTGTGTCTTAATACTTTGAAATCAATTGGAGGAACATCTATTCTTTGACCTTGCAATTTGCCCTGCTTCAGAAGTCCCATCTGAAACAATGATAAGTTTTCTTTATTCATCACTTTAGCTGTCACTGCACAAAGAAATACGTGTTGCCTAGCATATGCCAGCAATTTTTTCACACAGAAACAACTTCATTCTGGAAACTCGTCCAGGAAACAACAGGAAACAACCTGTTTTACTGCTTAACTCTTTCAGTGTTGAAAGATCAAAAACCAACTCCAGCTAGCTCAGTCTCGTGGTTTGGGTGTAATCTCCTCTCATTCTGTTGGTTTTGAACAGTTCTGGTCTACCCAAAAACTATGTCTAGATGACTGTGTGACTGAGCCCTTGATATCAACTCAAACATGGCAAGATAATAATACATAAAATTGGTATCCACATCTGATGAAACTGTGCCTTTCAAATTCCTGCATGCGGGTGCAGTCCAGTGTCATGATACGTGATGGAGTCAGTAATGAATATCTGAGAGGTTCAGAGCAGCTTCCTCAACTTCCTCATGTTCATGCCAGCAATAGAGATATTTCTAGCACCATTTAGTCAAAGAGATGGCTTAGATCTTCCTTTCTTTAATCAGTATCAAAATCAGTAAGGAATCCTTACAAAGTCAACCACCCCATGACAGCAAGGAGATGGAGACTGAGCAAACAAAAGGAAGTTGAGGTGTTTTTTATCAATCTCTGTGACCTTGGGCTGAGAGAATTTATGTGTAGTCTCATTAGTCACCAAGGGCTGCTGTGTTCATGCTGGGATTCACTAACGAGAGGTGGCAGTTTCAGGTGTATGGACCACGTGAGCGCATTCATTGCAAAAGCCATGCAGATGACATGGAAAGGAAGGTGAATTAGACTAACCTGGTTGAGAGGGAGTAGTTATGCTCACAAAGGTCCATTACTTCTGAAAGCAAATTTAAGAAACTACATTACTACTGTTAGTGGCTTTCAGGCATTTCAGATGTGATTACTGACTTTTTCAGTGTGTCTGCTCAGTTTTGAGTAGACAAGAAGTAAAACAGCCTTCAGCAACGATTTTTCTCTCTTGTGAGAATGTTGATTCACAAATGCAGGTGGATAAAAGTCTGAGTGTCTGAAGCAGTTACCACTCCCAGATATTTGCTCTGATCCTCTATGGAGAACTGAAGGGTGTATTATGTCTTCCACTGCTGTGCAGAAAGCATGCTGGGCTTCCTGAACAGTGGTGGATCACATCTGAGTCACAAAGGGGAACTTGACAGTGCAGCCTGGAGCTTTCCCTGTGGCACCTGAGCTCTGTAGCAGTCCCAGTGAATTCAATAACCAAATCTCATGCTGTCCAATGTAGTAATGAAGCTAACTGGACAAGATCAACCTCTTTAATTGCATTACAGTCTTACACTCTCTAAAGGAGTATGTACTGTGGAATAATGAATTTGGCAGTTAGATTTCTGCATTATACATTTTGTTGTAACAAAGCATTTGAATGTAGACTTGCCTGCCTTTCTGCAGGAGAAGCAGATGTATTTGTTTTATGCTGAGTGGTTTATGAAATGAATGTTGCTGAAGACCTGAATTTCATGCAGTATAGTCTCAGGTGGGTGGAGGTTAATCACAAGAGCCAGGGAATATATGTCCTGCTTAGGACATCTCTTTTCAATCATTCATATTACATGAAGGCCTGTAAATTTCCAGCTATAAAGGCTGGGTGTGCATATGAAGAGCGAAATTAGGCTGCCATTTGCAAAGGACTTGAAGATACCTAGGTGCTATTGAAATACAGTTTACAGTTCATTAAACCTTCAGTAATTTTTGCTTTCCATAAATTAATATTTATTTTCTGTGATGAGGTAATAATAAGTACATTTCCCAAGTAAAATATTTTGCTGTGTTAGGTGAAGGACATGACTGAAGAAGACTTTAGTTGAATACCAGCACACCAAAAAATGGATTCACTTGTATATTTTTAATTAAGACTTATTCCATTTTTTTTTTTTGCTTTGAAATACAGGCAAAATATTAATACAAAGCCTCAGCTAGGAAGAAAAAAATAAAAAAACTCCAGTGATTTTTCAACTGGATACATTTTTGAAACATTATTGAGAGTACCACTAACCTCTCCAGAAAACTATGGAGAGTTTTCCTACTGCTTTTTTTATATTCTCCTCCTGGGTAACTGTTCTTATTTTAGTTTATTTCTCTTTCTTTTCATTAATACCCACCTGTCCCAAGGGTTCCTCTGCCCATTTAAAAAGAAAGACATTGGTAAACTTCCATGATACATTATTTAGAGCATCACAAATCATGGCCATATCATGAAAGACATTTGAGCTATTCCTTATGCCTCTTAGTTGAAAAAGGCTGCTTGGAAATGTGTCTGTACTTTAATCCTTGGGAACATACATCAGTAAACCAGAGACATGAACTGCAAAAATTCTTAATGGAAAGTAAAATAAATGTTTTATAAAAATAAGATATTATAAAAGTAAAGGTCAAATTCGACTTTTTTAGAGGCCATTATTTGTTACTAATAGAGGTTAAAGACCTGACAGAAAAAAAACAAAAACCAGACCAAACCAAACCAAACCCAACCAAACCAAAACAAAAAAACAACCGAACTCAAAACCAAACAGTCAGAGTTGACTTCCCTTTCCTTTAATACAGGCATATTTTGGTTGTTTCAGCTTGAGTGCCCCCCTTCTTCTCTCTGTGGCAGTTGGGAGAAACACTACTGAGCACAAGAATTTTTATTTTTTTTTCATAATTTGTCTTGTAGAGAAGATGGTTAGTAATGAAGCTCCCACTGAGATAAGAATGAGGAAGATTCACCAGTCTTTGAAAGAGAGACTCACTTCTTTCTTATTTAGGTGTTTGGCTTTGTAAAGATTGCAAACAAGGAAAATTTAGACCTAAGGAGTTTGCTTCAAGTTTCACGTATTTAAATAGCTCTTTAAAGGGAGAGTAGAAAACTGAGCATGAAAGTATGAGTGTTTGGAGCTTCCCTAAAATTGTATTTTTTAAATACCACTTAAGCAAATCTCTGGTAAGATAGGTTAGCCAAACACTGCTTTCAAGTCAGCTCAGAAGAGTGTTGACTCTCCCTCTTGATACGCATCAATGAAACTTTGGTAATTTTGGTACAATGGTCAGAGCAATCCTAGAAAAAGTAACATATCAATTGTACCCATTTAATCACAGTTTAATGTGACCAACAACACATCACTTGTTCTAGGGCATCTGAAACTAAAGCTACTTTAATACAAATAATTTTCAAAATCTGGAGTTCTTGATAGCAAGAACTCTTTTCCAACAGTTTGTTTATAATCAAAGTTACCACTGAAATTAACAAAACATTGCTGAAAAGTCTGTTAGATGGTATCGCTGCAAATTCATGCCTCAGTTGCATCCCCTAAGTCTCAGGTGAGAGGGGAAATACTTTACTGATTGTGTCAGTAAGCCTCCTCTGTTGTATCTCACAGCTCCCAACCCACCCACCATTCGAGAAGAGCTCTGTACAGCTTCATATGACACCATTACTGTCCACTGGACATCGGACGATGAGTTCAGCGTGGTCTCTTACGAGCTGCAGTACACCATCTTCACTGGACAAGCTAATGTTGTTAGTAAGTATAAATCTTCTCTTTTGTAGTTCTGTTTCCTTACGGTTTCTCTGTAAACCAAGTGCCTTTAAATATAAATGTACTCCTATATCAAGAACAAAAAGGAAAAAAATGTTTTCTAGAAAGATTTAAAGCCACAATTTTAAATCCAAATCAATAATGTTTTTAAAAGGTTTTAAAATTCAGAATTAATTCACTTAAAATTTCTTGTGTCTTTTCTAGGAGTGCCATATATTGGGAGCTTTCAAAGACTAAACCCAGCTCATATTCCCAAAGGCATAAGTATTGTCTATGATAGCAGGACTTGTCTCTTGCATCCTAAGTCCCTTGTTGCAGATGTAGCAGGTTCAAAGACCTCAGATCCATTGTCTGCACTAATCAGGCATTTGGGAGCCTGTGTAGAACTGGTCAGTAGGTAGCACTGCAGCCCCCTTGTCATTAAGATAAACTTGACTTTACCCTTGTCAGAAATACAGATTAAGGCCTTCCTCTGATTTTTATTGTCTTCATGACTACAAAGCATAGGTCTCAATTAGTGTGCTAAAGGCTAGGTCAGAAGACATCAATGCTTACATCAATGGAACAACAATTAATATTATAACTTTTTTGACTTATAATGACATTAACAAACGTTGTCTACTTTGTAGTATAGCACATTTTTTATCAAATACACTCTATATTTTGAAACTGTGATTTTCTTTAATGACAAAATTTACTGACTATTCCTTGGATTTTTAATTGTTAAATAATTATTCCTCTAAGAAAAAAGTACTGTCTAATCTTTGGTCAGGAAGTTGACACTTCTGGTTCAGAGTTCTGCAATCACTGGGATCATTGACTATGAATTTGGAGCAGTCATTCAGCTTCTTCCTTTTCCCTTTTAATGGGAATACCACTAACTGACACATACTTGCTTTAAGAAACAAGGATTATGAAATTAATCAAATCAATCTAAAGGTGGAGTTTGTTTAGTCAATGTATACGTAGACTAGGAACTCACTGCCACAGAGGGCTGTTGTGTTTTTGAGTTCAAGAGATGCCTGGACAGATCATACATGAAAAGTCCACTGAGCACAATGAAGTGCAGAGACTTCCTTCTGGCTCAGGAAGTCCCAGAGCTGTAAGCTCTTGAGACCTGGGAGACCATGGTGAAAAATAGTTAGTGTGTGCTTTCTTGGTTCCTTAACATCCTCCTATGCCCTCACCTTTGTCCACATCAAATGCCCTGGTCCCACACTGAGCTAGGTAGGGTTAGTTCTGAGCCAGTGCAGAAGTGTTATTCTTCTTGGAAAATTTGTTGAAATACTTTGGCGAAAGTCCGTGCTGTGGACATGCTTACATGCTTTATGTCAGTGGAAAAATGGTCTATGCCAATTTTCAGTACTGAGCCAAACTCTCACACTGACTCCTCTGCTGCTGTGTTCACCTCATTTTCTCCATCGCTAACAAGGAGTTTGTTTTCCAAACCATATGAAAAGATATCTGAGAATTCATGTGCTGGCATTTTAATAGCCATTTTTAAGTACCATACTGTGAACGTATTATAGTATTCAGGATTGACTGAAAAATAAACTAGATTATTGAAAATCTGATGAATGTTTTGACAAAATCTCCATTTGGTATTTCCCTTGACAGCCTGATTTTGAAGAACACACAGTAAAATTTAACATTGCTGGAAAGACCAAGTAAACTTCAACACATGCTCCTACCTCTGAGCAAGCTGGATAAGGGAAAAGTCTAGTAGTAATTTTGAACAAATTGAAGCAAGGTATATAAGGAAGGAAAATCTTCACTGATTAATCACTACTAAGCAGAGACAACTTAATGATACAACAGTACTTCCCTTGTTTTCTAGCCCATTTTTGTCTATGGATTTATGCTAGACTAGTCAATTATTGGCACTGTATGCAAATGACAGCAGTAAAAGGTGTGCCATTTCCATACTTTTGTGATGTAGGGTTTTACTCTTTGCTTACTAGGGAATAAATAACAAGATATTTCATATTTAGGCTGTATTTTAGGTTTCCCATGTGGAGATGAAAGCTTTGATCTGTAAAACATGTATCAATTAGTCTGCTTTCAGAGATGCAATATAATTTTCAAGCATAGCATGAAGTGCTTAGTGTGAAGTCTGAACTTTCACTTTAACACATTGTAAAAATGGTGTAATTAAAAGTTTGAAGAGAAAACAAATTAACACTGTAAGAAACTTTGTTTACAAAATGCTCTGTAGACCTTAAATGAAGGTAGAACAAGGTTAAAGAACTGACACTTTTTTTTTATTTTTCTCTTTTTCAATGCAGATATCTCTTAGCAAATATCCTGGCTGTTACATTCAATTTAATTGAGAGCTATAATGTTAACCAAAATTAAACACATGCATATAGAATTATATGTGGAAGGCCTTTCTGAATGTCATAAACCTTTTTTTTTAAATCTCGATATTTAATATAGACTTGAACACCTCCAATGATGATGTTCCCACCTGCTGTAGATCTGCCCAGGTTTCTAACATGTGAGACTCTCCCAGTTTGTTCCAGCTTACACTGGTACTGGAGATTTGCCCACTAACATCATAGAATGATAATGGAATCACTTAGGCTGGAAAAGACTTGTAAGATCATTGAGTCCAACCATTAACTTAACACTGTCAAGTGCACCACTAAACCATGTCCCTAAGTACCACATTGGCATGTCTTTTAAACACCTCCAGGGATGGTGACTCAACCACTTCCCTGGGCCTTTACATGAAGAAATTTTTCCTAATATCTATTCTAAACCTCCCCTGGGGCAACTTGAGGCCATTTCTTCTTGTCCTGTCAATCCTATCCTGATTTTACTCAGAACACTGCCTGGATGTTTATTGACTTTGTTGCATTCTATTCTTTGTCCTGAAGAAGGATCTAATCTCCCAACACTTATTATAAATGGCTTTCCAAGATTGTTCTTAGAATATTGGAGCGTACCTTATTAGCTCCATTGAACACAGAGAGCTGCTGCCACTGCAGCCTTCATGTTTTGATGAACTGAAGCTAGGTGATTTTTTTTAATCCTGTTTTAATGAAATAGACTTTGGGTTAGCACAAATTTCTTCCTATGTATGGCATTTGCATGCTTTTGCATGTAACTGTATTTTTATTTCTCTGTTGTATCCTCAAAAGTTTCCATTAGTATTGCATGTTGCCTCTAGCAGATAATGTAAACAGGTTCATAGACTGCCTTCAGTTCTGTGTTTTTGTGGCTGTGAATTAGTCACCAGGGAGTAGCTAGAGTACTGCATTAAACCAACAAGCTTTTTCCCCCGAGACAGTAGGAATCACTTTGCATACATATCCACCTACCGTGCTAATGGAGGCTGTTATTTTAGAATCTGTTTCTTAAACCACATAGCCAGCCTGACTGCACTTTCCAGTCCTCAGTATATTTCCCCCACCAGAGGCATATATCATTCAGAGATTGCTAAGAATTCAGTAACAAAAACAAGCAATGCTATGTTTTTCTAGTATATTTTCTATCCAACATAATCAACTATATTCTTTTTTATTAACTGAAAAATTGGAAAGTTTACATTTGATGGAAAAGGTCCAAATAGAGTATTTCATTTGAATCCTATTTCATACAGGAAAGATTATTTCCAAATGTGGCCAAACTGCTTGGCTATTCAATGTTTGGCAGCTCTGTTCTGTGCTTAAGAGCAGTATGGAACTTTAGATTAAGCAGGCTTTAACTAAAGCAGTTGTTCTCAGAGTTATACCATTTGGACATTTGCATTTCTGAGATGCAGCTAATCACCTGCAATCTGAATATGGTAAAGGCTTTTAAAATTACTTTGTCACTAGCTAGCTAACATGCATTATGACTTCATTATCCTGTTTCAATAAATTTTCAAATATTCATTGAGTATGCCTTTTTTAACATATTTGCTATAATGTGCTTCAGGAGGGTTCAAATTTAAAAACCCATTTTTTTCTAGCTCTGATACAAGATGTCCACGAAAAATGTGTCTCTTTTTTTTAACAAAAAGCAGTAAATACTTCTCTCTTGGTGGTAAAGGGAATCAGGGTTAGTTAGTTATATAGTCTAATTACAAAACTTAAGGATACAGCGTACTATTGTCAGAACCTTTTCACTGTTACATGACTCCTTTTGCTATGAGACAGGATAAAAATTTTTGAAGGATCCAAGACAATTAGGAGCCCAAGCTTTCATGAAAAACAGTGAATTTATGATTCACCTATCAATTTTTTAATATTCTAACTTTTGTCTCTTTCTGGAAGTTCTATTTTATTAAAATATTCCTTACAATCTTCAGATTTATACAGAAGATTTTAATATTTTTTTAATGACACAAAAGCAAATTTGGGATAAAACCAGGAAAACTGCTTCTTGAAAATAATTTTTATTCAAAGCATTTTAAAATAATTAAAATGCTCAAGTGATTAAATAATCTTCCCATGACTTTGGTGCTCCTCTTCCAGTTTTCAAGAAGATATCTTTTATTAAAATCTACCAGTGTAAATTTTAGGAGGATTTACACCCTGTGATTTTTCCCGTCTGTTTTTTAAATTACATCAACAGCCAACACCAGGGAAATATCTTTACAAATTATTATCTCCAGACTCTGAGAAACTTGTTTTAAAAACTCATATATCCTGTACGGACATCACTGTGCTCACTGCACCATTCCAGGATGTAATTTAAATTCTCCACATTTTTGTTAGGCTACAGTTTTAAAATACATTGTTTTACCATCTGTGTAGCCCTGTAAAAAGCCCTGGGTTTTTGAAACAAGAAACCCGAATGTAGCCTGGATTAGGATTGGGTACAATAGGAGACCCTTAGCTCCTGCTGCTGCTCCAGTGAAGAGATGTGTCCTTTTCCACTTCACCTGCTGCCACCAGCAGGGAGCTGAGAGGGCAAACACTGATCCGGAATGCCAGTGTGACCAGGCTACTTGCTCATTTCCCTGAGCCCTCTTAATCATATTCTTTTGTATGCAGAGAAGAAAGGCTGTCCTGACAGGGCATATCTGGAGACAGATTCTTTTGATGCAGTGACAAATTATTCTTTCATACTTAAAAGCTTAAATTGGCTGCCAGTGGTAACTATTCTCCATTTTGAAGGAGTTTGGACTTGTAGTTTGGCATCATCAAAACTTCATTCCTAAGATTTTTGATTCAAAGTACAATTTCAAGCCTGTTATCAAGTATCTCACAGTCAGGAAGCACAAGGACATATCATGAGCCCCTTGATGCATAGGCAAGAGCTGAGTTTGTTGAGACAGCAAGGTTTGTCAAGCAAAGTAACCAAGTCAGTTGCTGCACATCCAACATTCATTGTACACCAGTAGTCTGGGATGCCTAAGACTGGAAAAATGAAGAAAAGAAACCCAGAGTATCTTCTGTCATCAAAGAGAATAGAACATTCCCCTGGAACATAAGTTAAAGGGAGGGTTCCCAATTCTCTCTATTGACTGTGCAGAGAGTTTAGGTACATAAGGTCCTTAGTGATTATTGGCTACACATAAATACACCTACACAGGAGGAGAGTGTAAACTTAAGAGGAGATTCATAGCAATGCAACAGTTGTACCTTTACAGTCCTTCATATACTTATTTAGGTCAAAATTTTATACTTCGTTAAGGAGCAATCAGTCTCTGGGGGGTATTGTAAAAAGTGTAATGCAAGCCTGAAAAATGTACCCATTAGAGAGTTGTAATGACTAATACAAATCCAGTTTAGACATGAGTTAGCAAAAATCTGGGCATTTCTGTGTCTGCATAAGGGTTAGTTTATATATGGCTTATGTATATCATAGAACTTTGCTTTCAAAGTGTGCTTGTGGGTGGAGAAGACATTTCTAGGATTACTGTCTGTATCCATCCCACTTACTGTCATATGTTATTTGTTAACCCATCAGAGGCATCTTAGTTAAGGATTCTTTGGTCATCCTGTACTTCATCTAAAATCCAGTGCTTCATTTTGTTATATTTGAAATTAATATTTTTTGCAATAGTACCTATGAGTCCAGTAAGGAATGGTCTCAATGCAAAATCATTGTGGTAGTTTAGCTATGGAACAGGTGGGCCTGTACTCTAATACCCATGGCAAACTGGGGAAAGATGAGGTTTCCTCTGAGCAGTCAGTGAAATATGTCAAGAAGCTGGTTTTTTTGCTTCCTTTCTTCCGCTTAAGAAACCCATTCACACACAGCCTAAGAAAATAGGTAAGATTCAGAGTTTATGGTTTAGTGAAAGAAGACATGGACTGGTGTTGCTACAAGCAGTTTACTACCAGGCCCAACTGGGGTTACCATGAGGATAACACTGGGTTCTTTTTCTTCATGAGGAAGGCAGATGATTGCTCTATATGACCTAGTTTTTCAATAGTCTTGAGAAAAGCAGTGCTGCAAGGTTGCTTTTCTGTGCTGCTTCTATTCACGTATAACAAACAGTTAGAATCTCTTGTAGCTGATATTTAGGGAGGTTAAGTGTAGTCAGATGTTACTACATGTCACTTGGATGCTCACTGGTTGGTGCATGAGGAACATACTAGAATTCTTTTTTTTCCACCCACTTTACACTAAGAAACTGCAACAAAGAAATGTTGTCATTCTGGTAAATCATGGTCCAAAGACCACAACCCATATGTGAGTTCAGCCAGGGGCTTAGGCTTCCAGACTTCAAATTGGGGTGATGAAAGGAGAGTGACTCATGTCGCATGATTTTAGACAGCTGAAGTTAGGGATCTCACCTATGATAGTTACCCAGGCTACTTCTGTGGACAAGAAAAGAGAGGTACTTGTGGCTGGAAGGATGTTCACATGTGGGGAAGTGAAAGAAACTTGTTACTGAATTCTGCCTCAGCTCAGAATCCAGAAAAATAGGTTAGGCATCATAGCTCGTCATTAGATGGCAAGATAATATGAATCCAACTTGAAACTGTGCTGCAGTTACCCGTTTGCACAGCAGGATGAATATCTACCTGCCTCTTGAGGATGCTTTGTAATGCAAGGGAATTTTGACACACAAGCTTCATTATTCTTAGATTGATATTTGGAATTTGAATTCTGTTTCTAATGGTATTTTGTTATGAAGAACACATCCCAAATTAGGAAGGAATCTTGCAGTATGCTTATGAATTGTCTATGAGTCTGTAAAAACCTGTATCACAGGTCTGTTTCTTTCAAGTTTTGTATTCATTAGCCTTTTAAATTTTATTTTACATAAAGGTTTTGTATTGTCTGATATGCGGAGCTGAAATTACTACTGAGTTCTCTTTATTACTTACTGGTTTACTGGTAAAACATTAATCAAAAAGTGAAACTGTCTTTAAATAAAAACAACAGCTTTCATAACATATTCTATGCGCAGTAAAGGCAGAGACCAAGAAGGCTGTCAGGTTCCTAATCCAGTCAAGCATTTCTCTATTAAGTTTTCCAGACTTACATATGTACAGACATGCGTACACTTCCATCTGCATCTATCTTTTTCTAGCTGTGTAACCATGTAAAAGGCTGTGAATATATACTCTTCATGAATGTTAAATTTTTTATTTATGTAAACATTTATAATACGAGAGCTATAAGACTGGGGATCCATCAGACCAGGAGCTGTTCCAAATGTAGAATAAGTAATATGGGTGATTGACTGCCAATGCAGTTATACCACAGTAGGAAAAAATGTATGTCAATTAATAAGTTAATTTTAATGGAGTATTTTCCCTCCCTTATTTTACTTAATTCCTATATATTATACTTCTATGGTTGTCATCAAATGTACCCAAGAACTTTTATAAATGTAAAATTTGCCAGATCTTTCCCAGCTGGCATCTCAGCACGAGGACATAAATCAAAAAGTTGTGTGCAATAAATTTACTGGCTGAGATTACTTTCTAGCAAAGTCTGACATGTAAGAATCAAAGCTTTCTCTGAAGACCATTCTCTACCCTGTTTGGCTTCCCATGATTTGCTTCAGGTTCTGAAGAATGCATACCTGGCGACTGTCAGCAAAGGTGCCTCCCCAGTCTTCCTGGCTTTATTGCTTATGTTAGTTTTCTGAGGCTTAAACTGAGTTCATTAATCCAAACAGTAGATTGATGGGATCGTCATAATCCTCTAGCTCTTAAGCAATAAAGAATTCCTTGTGCTGGGATATGAAAAATCTCAGACTGCTAGTATCTCCACTGAGACATTTCTTAAATGCCCATTTTTTATGGTTGACTTCACATAGCAGGAACTTAAAAGGTACCATGGCTGAGGGTTGATGAAATGAGTTAGTGGCATTAAGTAGTGGCTCACTAAATGTAATAACACTTTAAAAGGTATAGAAGCAAAATTCATATTGGTCGTTGGGTTCCTGGGAATGCTCTAAATGTCCCTCTGTTACAAAGTGTTTAGTGTGTTATGACTGATGTGCTCTGTTTGAAATTGCAGGTTTATGCAACTCAGCCGACAGCTGGATGATTGTTCCTAATATCAAACAAAACCACTACACGGTGCACGGGTTACAGAGTGGCACTAAGTACATCTTCATTGTTAAGGCCATTAATCAGGCAGGCAGCAGGAGCAGCGAGCCTGGCAAACTCAAGACAAACAGTGAGTAATGTGAGATCCAGCATGCATGCGCTCTTTCTGGCCTTCCTTTTTAGGTTTGCTCCTCAAGATACAAGAGCACAGAGCAGTTTAACTTGTTAGAGCAGTTTAACTTGTTTAAAGTGCTTCCCACACTGAAAGCCACTTCTTTAACTCAATTCGAGAATGTCAGAGTCTTCGGTAGTGCAGAAAATCCTTTTTTTTTTTTGAGAGAGAGATGCATCTGTTGTTTGGTCACTGGAAATACCACATAGGAATAGAGCCATCACATGTCAAATGGTTAAAAATACTCTTTTGTGAATTTGTTTTGATATCCTCTCTATTCTTTTACCTCTACAAAGCAAAAGCTTTTCTTATGTTTGCAAGAAAACCTTTTATTTTGGTGTAGTGTTTAGAAGATAATTTCTGGTCTAATTTTATCCACCAAAATTATATCTTTTTAGGACACTGGAAAACTTCTTAGTTTTATCCACCTCAGTTTTTTATGGAGTTTAGCAAGGTGGTAGAGTAGTCAGAGATCCCACTTCAAAAAAACAATGGTTATACAAATTAATAGCAGATGTAGAATAACAATTTTAAGACTCGTTTTCAGCTGTTTTCTTCTTGTGTCTCAGCCAACATCTCAGTCATGTAGTCATTGTGGGCAGCTCTGAGGGCTGGAAAGAAAACACTGGGATTTATGCATCCTCTGAAACCTGCTTATTGTAGGGGGGTGCTTGAAGAGGGGCAAAACTGAATGTTACAAGAACAATACTGAAGAGAATGGCACGTACAGCTTTCTGATTTCTCCCTTTCTGCTATTAACCTGTGCAATGTGACTAGACACAATTCAATAGAGAGACATCCTTCAGATACTGCTTCAGCACACAAAGGCTACTAACCAGTCAGAGAGGCAGGCCATGCATATGTTACTGCTACCAGGTGGTAAGAAATAACCCCCAGATACTTTCCATTGGGTTTATTTTATAATACATAATTAAATGCACATTGCAAAAGTAGATAACCCTGAACAATTTACATCTTACTTGAAGTACATGTGCCAATGCCTCACACAGACTTCATGAGAGTGCTTGTTTTCATTTTCTGTGCATGTCATCAAATCTTCCAATTACATGTCTTTCCCCTTGAAATAAAAGAGAGTAAGAAGGGGAAAGTGCTTTGCTGGATTACTTGTGGAGTCATACTTTTCTGGTTGTCTCCTGGTGGAGGTAAATGATCTTTCTGCCTTCTGACACAATAAGCAAGCCTGTCAGAATTGTGGTGGGCTTTATATATCTAGAGGGTTCAGTTTACCAAATAGCTTCCGGTTATTGTCTACAAATCTTGTGCTACAGCCCAAGATACTTGCCAAAAGCAACAGCCTCAATAATGTTATTACACCATATTATTTGGACCAAGTTACAGTTCACTTCCTTCTTTTAATGCACAGTATCCAATACCACATGGGCATCCTTCCAAAGCAATCCTGAATTGTTGACTGTGCTTGTTATAAGTAAAGCTGTGAGTGAATGAAGAGACAATGCTAGTGTTTCTTCTTATTTTTAAACTCATTTTGTGGGATTTGAAATCATACTTTTTGTAGGAATAATGAAGATGTTATTATGGAGCCCTATCCCTAAAGAATTAATTGAACACAATTTATTCTAAATCTAATATGCTCTGAAAAAAAAGCAACCCTCAGACCATTATTAGCATGTATATTGGTTTCAATTACATGCAAGAATCAGAATATTCTGGTTACCTCTAGGTCAGAGATAAAGGACATGATGATTATGCAGGGCTCTTCTCAGGGATTATCGACACAGGGAAGTCAGTGCACAAAGAAATTGACAGTAAACTGACAATGCAATGCAAACGAGCTATTGCAGGGATCAGAATAGGTTAGTCTATCTCAAGAACACTTGAGAGGAGGAAATTAATATGGTTATGTAATCTTGCAGGTTTCTTAGAGGCTCACTAATCCACTCTCCTTTTCAAAATCAAAGCCGAGTCATCTTTGCCTCTGTGTCTCTAGGTCAACCATTTAAACTGGACCCCAAATCTGCTCATAGAAAATTGAAAGTGTCTCATGATAACTTGACGGTGGAACGCGATGAAACATCCTCCAAAAAGAGTCACACACCAGAGCGATTCACAAGCCAAGGGAGCTATGGAGTAGCTGGCAACGTGTTCATCGACAGCGGGCGGCATTACTGGGAAGTGGTTATAAGCGGGAGTACGTGGTATGTATATAAAAATATATGTGAAAAAAGCACTAGTTCACACCATGCATAAACTGGCATCGTTTCTCTGATAGAGACCAGTAGCAGAAGCATGGGGAAGAGTATGAGAGCAGGCCAAGCATATATTTTCAGATAGTTTGTCAGACTATTTTCCCAGTCTCCAATGCTTTTGGACTCTGGAACTAAATCTGTCACATTAAACATCTTTATATTTAGCAGTCTTCACAGGAGTTTTACTCCATGTCTGGGAATGATTGTTTTTTTGAACCCATGTACAGTACATTTTGAAAGCAAACTTTGTAAATGTGATCATTTCTCTACTAAACGTGAAAGATTTCCATGTCCTTCAGTAAGAAAAAATAAATAAAAATGAGGACAGTTTGATGATCCAGTTCCACAGGGACAGAGATCGGATTTGCTTCTGGGGAGGGGATGTGGAGCAGCAGAGCTGTAGGTCTGTGCCCCAGGGTATGAAGCAAGGGGAAGGAAATAGAAGAGTGCTTTCCTCCACTTCTGAATGATCCTCTGTGTCATACGAGGGCAGATTTCCAGAGGCCTTTAGTCAATGGAAGAGATGTTATCTTTTGGTATTCAAAGGCATCATGATGAAGGTTAGTGGAATGGAAAAATGAGTAAGGTCTTCAGGTATTACCCGCTGTCTCGAACAAGAAAAATGCTGTTTGTCTGTGTCAGTGCTAAGAAATGGAAAAAAAGTAACTTATGGCACATTAATCTCTGTTGGTTGAAATCCCAACAAATACTGCAGTGTCTCTAAAATGTGAGGAACTTTGAAATTTCTGTTATATATGACAAATCAGGTATTTGTCCTCAGTGTCCAATAATGAGAACATTTTCACAACCCTTTTATCCTGCACATCTTGCCATAAATTATGGTTTCCAGAGCAAATCTCTTCACCTATATTGCTTCACTTGGCCAGAAACCCAGTCTCAAAAATACTAATTTGAATCTGAAAACTACACCAGCATCTGGCAAAACATTTTTGAAAATCGCAAAATGTTTTTTTTAATGTGTCCTTGATGTTTACTCTTGCATGCCTTCTTCTGGACCATATATAAAAGGAACAAGGAGAGGTCGGATTAGCTGACAGTCAGCAGGGTACCTTAAAATCAGTTAATTCCTCTGCATTCATCTGTTGGAAATGGAAGTTTGGGGCCAGTGATTTCATAGAACCATAGAATCAGCCAGATTAGAAGGGATCTCTGAGATCATCAAGTCCAACCCTTGATCCACTACCACCATGGTTACTAGACCACTCTGAGCTGCTGAGTACTCAACAATCTTCCTTTTGAATACCAGAGATAAGCACTCATAAAAATTGCCGTAGCTGCCAAACTAGAAACAATACAATGAGTTTCCCTGATCTCTCAAACCCAAAAGAGAGACAAAGAAAAACATTAATTAAGCCTATGCAGGTATTGTGGTGAAACATCACTTAACAAGAACATAAACCAGCAGCAGTAAGAGGCCGAGGCATTCCAGTGAGTCCTCTGGGCTAACATTTGACTTCACAGAGAGACTAACATGGCTGGAAGCATTTGTTTCCTTGAGATGTTCTTTTCTTTTGCAGGTATGCTATTGGTATTTCCTACAAGTCAGCACCGAAGCACGAGTGGATTGGAAAGAATTCTGCCTCCTGGGTGCTTTGCCGCTGCAATAACACGTGGGTGGTGCGGCACAACAGCAAAGAAATCCCCATCGAGCCTGCCCCTCACCTCCGGCGGGTCGGGATTTTACTGGACTATGACAATGGCTCCCTTGCTTTTTACGATGCTTTGAACTCCTTACACCTTTACACTTTTGACATTACTTTTGGGCAGCCAGTGTGCCCCACGTTCACAGTGTGGAACAAGTGTTTGACCATTATAACTGGCTTGCCTATCCCTGACCACCTGGACTCCTCGGAGCAGCTCGCATGACTGCTAAAAGCCAAAAGGTAGGACAACACATCTTCCCAGGGTGGCCAGGCAGCTGCCTGCAGGAGCTTACCCGGAGCTGGTGGACCTATGTGGCATCCTGGCCATCGCTGCCAAATTTGGCCAAAACTGAAAAGGAGAGAATATCTCTTTCTGTGTACTCTGTGAGGAAGAACAAGAGGTGGCTTTAAAAATATCTTGGAACTTTCTTTTGCAGTTGGTTTTGTTTGGTTGGTTTTGTATTTAGTCTCTTACTGGAAGATTTATAAATTATTTATAAAAATAAAAAAAAAAAAAAAAAAAGTGCAAACCTGGTTTGGACACCTGGAAAATTACTTTTTTTTTTTTCCTGCACATTGATGGCCCTATTAATTAAACTTTCATCAACCTTTTGAATAATTTCATTTTACAGTGGATAAAAACAGGAAATCGGAAGGATGAAAACTGCGCAGTGGACAAGTCAGTATACTGCAGATTCTACTCGTACCAACATTAGTGGTCTCATTGCCAGCCTTATTGAGTGTGAGATCTCCCAGTTTCTACTTTGCACATGGAAGTGTGCAGACCAAAAGAACAGAAATAAAAAAGAGAGCCAGCCAACACAGCAAAAGAGTAAAGTTTAATTTACTTCTGTTCACAGGGCAGTGCTCTCTCAGTTCATAAAAAACATGTGGAATATCTCCTAGAAATGTGAGTGGATAAATCATCTGGTGATTTATTTTATTGATGGCAACATTCCCATCTACCAGTGCTTCACTTTCGTCTTTGGGAAATATTATAGAATCACTGAGGATGTGGGAGACTGATACCATCTCTGAGAATCAGCAACACTGGAGGGGAGCAGCCAATCCAAGGTCTGACTGTAGACTAATTTGATAAAGCACGGCATCATTTAAGGATTGATTGTAATAGAAAATGTCACGGTTCTGATGGTAGACATGTGAATGCTTATTGCTGATTTTACAAGGTTCAACATAGCAAGCCCAGCCAACAACTCGGAAGTGAGACTTGCACCACTTTACCATTGATTTTAAATTAAATACAAATGTTTCACTGTCATACACTGTATAGTGTCTATAACAAAGCAAGGAAGTCTGTTTTACATGTGCTGTATGGAGAAACAATGCAGCTGGAGTGTGCTCATAGTTATTGTCCTGGGTTGTTTGGGAAAGCACAATTCTCTTTGTGAATGAGGAGTAAAGAGCAAGCTTTCAGCAGCAGTAGGAATCTGCATGGGCAGACCTGACATTCATCCTAGTGTTGGTAGATGAGCTTCAGTGAAGGCAGTAGAGGTTGTATGTACTTTATCTCAAAGCTGAATCAGGTACATTTTTTCCTGTTTCCCTTCTACAGAATAGAAATCCTTTGTAATTACTGCAATGCTTATAAATATTCATTTTGGGAGATGCTTGAGGCATATGACAACTTAAAAAGAATGGTTTTCCTGTAGTGTTTTGTTGTTACTATGCAAGTGGTTCAAATCTGCCTGTGTAGAGAAAGGATAAATGTAATATCAGCTTTAAGAAAAGATTTACTCAGTAATTTATAACCATGCTTTTGGTGTCTTTTGGAAAAGATGCCTTAATGCACTTTGTTCACTAACGGGTCCAAAATAAAATGGTCCCAAGCTCAGCTTCAGATTTCTAAAATACTGATTCTCCCAGTAAAGGACTATATTACAATTTGCCTTCTGATGATATAAAAAAATTTATGAGCAGGATGAGGAATATGTACATGCCTATCTGGTTTTTTTCCTTTTTTTTAGTAGAAAATGAATGCCTGTCCATGTTCCTTTGATTTCCCTTTATGTGTCATGATAACTGCTGAATTAAATAGAGAAAAATCTGGCAGTGCATTGCTGGTACCAGGGCTTTCAGATGGGCAGCATCCCATTGTTCACAGGCAGGAGCCACTGATCTTTCCAGAGTAGACAAAAATAAGACAAAATGTGTACACATTGTGAACTGCAGCATTTATCATACTGTCTTTAATAATCAAGAAATGTGTACCCAAAAATTAAAGAGTAAATAAGTTCCCAAACATTACATTTTACAATTGAATACAATGTTACTGATAGAATCTGATATATACTGCCCAGAGGATCTGACCTGGGATGTTTGGGAGATAGCTGAGATGGTATGAAAATTTTTATAAAATGAGTTGACAGGAGATGACTGATGCAAAGCAGTGATAAAAATATACATGAAGAAAGGAGTTTTAATCTAGGCTTATTGCCAAGTTTCTGCCTAAAAGGAAAAGGCATATTAGCAAATAGCATGTAGCAAGACTATGTATCTTCTCTTTTGCCACAAACATTAAATCTAGAAGCTGATTTCAGAGGTGGATAAACTGAAAACACTCTTCAGTGTTTAGCTATACAATGTTCGCAGAGATTGAGCTGGACGGAAGCAATACCATGAATTTGGAAAGGTCCCAAATGATCTCATGTATTTTCATTGTAAAGATAGGCCGTGATTCTAAAGACAGATCAGGGTTTTGGCCAATGGAGGAAGAATGGTCTGTTATCTACAGGCCTTGCTGAATCATTTTTATTTTAACACAGAACATTTCATTTGGAGCTAAGCCACATTTCTCCAATGGCCTATTAACTCAGTCAGTACTTTTTGTGCATATATGTTTGTGTATGTATTTACACATATGTATGGGTATACACACCAGTATATGCACAAATATGGTGTATACGCATACATACGTATATACACAGACAAAGCGACAGCAATTAGTCAGGTATTCCTTTTTTGCTTGTTTCTTGAACAATTTCATATTCTGTATGATGATGAGGAAACAAGTTTGCTATGAATGGTGTTCTTCTGGACATTTTTTAACAAACAAAATCTGTTTATTTTGCGATACTTGATTCAATGCCTGATTAATCAATAAAAACATTCATTTGAAAATGTAGCTTCTGTGGTCTGTGGCATTTTGCATGGTCCATAGTAATGAACTGAAATCTGAGGGAACAGTAATCCTTGTATAAAAATAAAATATGGTCCTTTAATGTAGCATGCGGTCTTAGATGAGGGGTTTTCCCTTACTTTTGAAAGTTTTGTGACTAGGAATGAGGTAGCATTGTATCATGCTGTGTTTAACAAAGGCAGGTTTTTGAGGAATAGTCTGCTGAAATGCAAGCAATGAATGTGGTATATAAAACTTGTGTTGGTATAATGATTGTTTCAAAGGTGTATTTAATACCCAAGTTGGGATTCAGCAGAGTTAGAGCAAACAATAGCACAATGTCTTTAGAAGATAGTAGCAGCTCAGAGTAGTCTTGAGCTTGAGGTAATGGAAGGGCGGGGGACTTTTTTCTCTGAGGCCAGATAAGATTTTCCATGTGTTAGACTTCCATGTGTTAATGGACATCTAATAGAGAAAAAAAATAATTCACAAATGAGCTGTGTGTCATAAATTATTTAGTAGACTGTCTTCAGCCCACTGTAGTTTCCCATTGTTGGTTCTCAGAGAGCAATAAACTTGCTGCATTTTCTGCCATGAGTTTATTCTTTGTCCGTTTTGAGTGTCCCATTTTTCAACTGCTCAGCAAAGACACTCCCACTGAGCCGTAGGTCCCAAGGGTAGGAAGCATGAAAATCCCTCAGGTCTAGGTACAGCGTGAAAAGCAGGAAATCTGCAAGTGCAGGTGAAAACACATGCATGTTCTTCATTATTAGCAATAGTAGGTCATCAGACAGCAGCGTGCATCATCTGTTTTTATCCCATGTCATAATTGCAAACACTATATTCTTTGCACGTTAGAAAATGCAACAGGACACTATTGACAATGCAAATTAAAGTGTCAGCTCATTAATCAGTTTGTTTTGAGATGACCAGTATTTATAACACTATGAAAGACTGTGGGAGATTTCATTAAAATATTATTTAATATCTCACACAGTATAAGTATTTCTTAATTATTCTGATAAAGCAGATTTCTAGTAGTCACCAGATTCTGCTTTTAGTTGCAGCAGCCCAATTTTCAAATAAGCCCATGCTCCAAAATAAAATGAGGATTGCTATTGGCTCTCATGGGTATCACCAAAACTGAGGCTATTCATTTTAGTTGGCAACACTGTCTTCATTTCTGGTTTAGGACTGAAGAAGTTCACACCAGTGCACACCAGTACCTCAGTAACTGTCCAGGGCACACCTGGCCTGAAGGCCTTTGGTGGGGCAGCTTTGGAAAGATGGTGATAAACAAAAATATGCACAGGTTGCTTACGTGGTGATGTGTTGGCAATTTTCTTGTAATACAAACTCTGATGTCTTTTCACATACTCTTTCTAGTAGTGGGAGTGTGTAGTGACATATAAGGATATAAAATGCAGTATTTTCCTGTGCTACTGAGTTGGTTGCCCATATAGAAATTAGCACAGTGTTTTTGTCTTCTGCACATTGAAGAAAGTCCTGCTCTCTCCTAAGTGCTGGTTTGTGTTCTTGATTATGCTGAGCTATTTGTATTTATTGTGCTTCCTGAAATGAAAGAAACTCTCTTTACATTCTAAATTTTCCTTTAGTACTTGATTTTCATATAAAAAAAATTAAGAGACTGAGACAATGATGTTAACAATGTTTTAGTATGGATGAGACTCTTGGTTTGGAGTGTGAGCCGTAAGGCATCTGTCTACATAAATCAAATCTCTGCGCCAGAACAGACTGATTTGTCATTTCTGTGGGAGTTGAACAGTGGAGGTGCAAGTGTTTTCTTCTGAGGTAGGCTTTTGCATTAACTCCACTCTTTGAGTGGAATATTCTGTGTCTTTAATTTTTTTGTGAGAAGCGATGCTTAAGCCATTGACCAAGTATGTGACTTTCCCAGGTGGGATTCATCCTGATTTAAGTGAGGAACCAGTTGAAGGTGAAAGGCACATATATTTCACGAAGGGTGATATAGGAAAGATAAGGGCTTGAAAACCATCAGCATTGAGGCAGTTCTGGTTTAGAAGCACATCAATGTATTAGGAAGTCATGAAGTCATTTACTACAGTGTGCTAACAATGTCATTATTACTGCTCCCTGGAAGAGGAATGGGGTAAGCAAAAGAGGGAGTTCTGGAGCAATGCTGAGAAAGATCACTCAGAGTGACAGGGCAGCTGGAAACCTGCCACCACTACTTGCCTTGGCACCATGCTGCAGCTCTGCAAAACAAGCCTGCACCTATTTACCCTTCTGTTCCAGCTCAGCCTCAATCCACATTCCCAAATGACAGGAAAAAAATATTGCAATTATATGTTTGAAGTCCTAACCTGAATAAAAGCAGCAGGGCAGGGATGAGAGCCCCGGGCCTTGATCCACTTTTATTCACCCAGATTTTTACATCTGCTAACTTCAAAGGAGATAGTCCTGATTTACACAGAAGTAGGTACAAGCCCATGAATCTTCAGTTTCCAACAGGTCAAACCCAAGTGAAGCAGAAGTCCCTGTGAGAACAGCTCAGCATTCCCATTAAATCATGTCTTTGGAGAAAGCGCATTAGCTGCTAGCAAAACTGCAGTTACTCATGAGCTGTTTCCCAAGGCCAGCACAGGTGTGTTTTAAAATGTCTAGTTCTTTTAAAATGTATGGCTCAATAACATTCTTCTTGTGTGAATTGTTCAGGCAATGCTTTGCTGTTTCCTCCAAGCAGGGTGGGAACAATTCTCTTAGCAGGTGCTGTGTTACTTTTATAAAAATCATGAGAGTGGTAAATATATAAGTTATGATATAATGCTCCAACATAAGACTATTGTTCTCGGACTTCCATTTAAAATTGTATAATCACTAAAGAAGTTTAGAAGTCTGCTTCCTTTAAGTGTTTGTCCTAATTTATATAATTATTTGAATGCATGGGAATGTTTCCTCTTGAGGAATATCACTTCATTTCTTGTTAATACACAGAGACACATTGTAATTAGGACTATTCCTGAAAATTCACGAATTCATAGAATAGCTTATAATCAAGCCTTTAAAAGGCAGCAAATGGAGGCTTTATGTTTGGCATAACATTGAACAGGGAAAAAAAGCTATAACTGAAACATGTAACAGATGACAGGTAACTGCTACACAAAATGATGGGAATTTTTTATTTCATCCTCATTTTATTTTACTTGGAAAACAGATGGTTCCATTTGAAAATGTTTATCTGTTATCCTATTTCTTCACTTTCCTTTTCTGTTTTCAGTCTCATTTTTAGATTTTAAATACTAGAGTAATAACAAGGTAGTTGGCTTTATTTTTTATTTCCTTGAAAATTACCTTTTTCATGAGGTGCACAGGAATGAAATGAGAAGTCAAAATGAGAAGTGAAAAGCAGTGTGCAATATGCAAGCTTGAAAGTTGGGAATATTTTTGAAACAGAAGTTAAAGAAGGAATGCAGATAAATCTGCCACTCTCCTACAATTACTGAATTATTTGGTTTCATTATTCTGCTATTAATAGCATTGTTCTCTAATTAAAACAGTGTTATGAGATCTGATTAAGGAGCACAATCAGAGAATTAGCAGATTATTTTAGGATAATCATGGAACAAGTTTCCTTTAATAACAATACATATAATCAACCTCACTAATGTCAGCTTGGAGTTTTTAGGGTTCAGTTTGGTTTTGTTTTTTTAATAATATTGTGTGTCCTCACTAGCGGTAGTTCCCAGCCTAGAAGTTTGTGTCTCTTTTGAGAAGCATAGGGTCTAATTCCTTATGGAATTGGGAAACAGTCCTCCCTCTGGCAGGTGTAAAGGTTGTGCTTGCACAGTGAGAACATCTCCCACCAGCAGGGGGTAATTTGATCTATATTTTTGGCATCTTGTTTATGCAAGTAGTAGTGATGGTCAAACTGAGGATGAAATAAGTTCATCCGTATCTGTAGGTGTAGGAAGAGATGGAAAAACTCTGTTGAATCACAACTAGTGATTACAAACAATGGTAGACCCAACCCAGAATTAGAAATTAGTGAATACAATCAGTAACATATCCTTTTAATTCCTTCCAGTGACTGTGACCTCTTTCTCAGTTTGTCTATCAGTTTACATCTACATGCTCCTTAAACATTTATTAAAGTTGGAGTTGAAAATGTTTGGAGTTTTTTTAACCATTAGGTTTTTGTCAAACTACTTTTAAAACAAACATTGCTGATATAATGTCAGCAGCTTATGGCAGAGGGTAGAGGTAAAGGAACAATGTAGGACCTAGAACAGGTGTAAATTGAGTTCAGAACAGATTAATACTGTTTCTCTTCTAACAGTCAAGTCACAGAATCCTACATTGCATATATTTAGACAAACAGGTGTTATTACCAAGAGCACGCCCTGAGTTATGCTGTAAATTCTAACAAATGCATGAACAGTTGAGGAAATTGGAATAAATATTTGAATTAGATACACAAAAAGAACTAGAGGAGAAAAAAGTTATTTATTCACTGCTAATAATTCAAACTATTGTAGCCAAACTATCCTTTCTTATTAGAATCCTAATGCTGTTTTCCTACTGATGAAACAGGAATGCTTTGTTTTTCTGTTCTTATGAAGTCAGTGCTCCATATTAGTATTACTTGGATTACTTGGAAATCACTCAGGATGAAGAAATTTCATAGGATCAAGTACAGAGTTCTCACCAGTCTTGAGGCCTGCATAAGCCATTAGCCAGATTCGAGGCTGAACTACCATCAAGTTATGAATGCTTTCATGTATATTTAACTGTGCCAGAAGAAACATGTAGCATTAAAAAAAAAAAGTGGTCAATTTTATGTCCATGTGGGAATAGACGTCATTCTATCCAGCTACAAAGCTGCTATTTGGTATAGGGACAGGAAAATATTTTTATGGATTTTGTATAAAACTGTG